TTTGCTACTCAATTACATGGTATATAAATATATACTTATATCATTCTTAATGTATATATATATATATAGTGGGTCTTTAAAGGTAAATTAATGAATACATAAGTCATATCTTTTGCTTACCTATGTAACCTTTCCTTACCTCATTTTACTTTCTACCATCTGCGGTACATCTTCTCTTACTATTTCATTTAACTATTTCCTTCCTTCCTTTCTTTCATTTTTTTCTTTTTATTTCTACTTAACTTATCTTCTCTTGAACTTATCTTGAATTGGAGATGAGCAGCGCCCCCTAGAGTCGGGAACGACTAGCACATATGTGCGAGGGGAACCTTTACCTTTTACCTTTAGGTTTCCTGTTGACGTCAGCCCTGAGAATTTTGTGTCTCTCTTAGCAGTTGAGAAATAGCTGTTTGTTGTTTCTTGCAAAATTATGAACCGTATTACTTTCATGCCCCAGTCTGGGGTTTACTTGGGGGCATCTGGTTTGGCCAGAGTTGGATTCAAGATGCTAAACAAGATGGTCAGGTGGTCAGTCTTTTGATGGCAAGGGAGAGGAAGTGAATCGATCGGGGAAAATAAACCGTTTGTTTCTGGTTGTGACCCAGGCCCAAGGAAGTAGTAGGAAAATCAGTCCGTGAAACAAACAAACAAACTTTATTCGAACAGCTGAGAATGACTTCGTTCCCAGCGTCGTTCAACTAAATTAAAGCAAATTCCTCCCAACACAAATTCCTCAGTCCTATCGCAAACCTTGGTCCAATTAGGCAAACTGCCAAAGGCCTTTCTTGGCAAATGTTCAGAAGTCACAGATACAAAAATGAATACAAGACGTAGATGAAGAAGAAGACGAAGCTACCAACGTTGTTTTCCGGCAAAGCCCAAATGCCGTTGCTGGTCTGTTTTAAGCCTTATGGGAGGGGCCAATCATCTCTTGGCCTTACTCCCGAGTTGTCCTCTTTGCTTGAGCTGCTCTTGCCTTCTGGCAGCTCTTCTCATGTGTGCATTAGGAACAGGCTCCTCCTGTTCCTCTGCCTCACTCCTAACAGTCTCTGGAGGCTCTGGAGTCTGCACCTCACTCCCCGATGGCCCTGGCCCCATCTCTGCCTCTGACGCAGAGCCCTCATCCAGGCCTTCCCCAGCCTCCAGGACTGGCCCATGTTCTTCCCCAGCCTCATCGCTGTCCGACTCCACTGCCAGCTCCACAGGCTGCTGGCGGACCACAACAGTTTCATTGGATGTTGGGATTTTTCTGCTTTTTAAACGATGCCAAGCCAATGCTTAGCTTATGTCATTGGTGAATTTTCCAGCGGAAGAAGGTAGGAAAATGTGCATCCCGTTTGACTGCCTAACCTAGATTGTCAGACTTTAAAAGGAATTTATCACAGGTTTCTATGGAAATGGAGCTGCTAAAACAGACTCCATTATGCAAATGACACGTTGAACAAAGTCGGCAGATGTCATCCCCACTGAGTAGAGGAGACGAGAAACTCAACTCCACAGGTAGCCTGAGACTACTCCTGTCGAGATGGGCTATAATAAGAGAATTTTGCAAGTCTGATTGTTCCGTATATCTCTTTCTTCTTAGACAGGAGGTATCTCTTTTTTTGGTCAGACGTTGACTCCAAATATTCAAGAACGGCGTCTGTGAATGAATGATTTTGAAATTTGTGTACCCAAAGACGTGTCTGTAATGAAGAAAAATTAGTGAATTTTTCATTCAAAAACCCCTCCCTGCAGAACCTCACATAAAGATTTGCACCGGAGAAGTGTTCAGATTTATTGGGGAAAGTATGTTAATAATTTGAGGATGTAGTATGTGTATATATATCATCCATATTTTAGGAAAGTTGACATATGAGGACATATGAGGTTTTTAAATATCTTTTTAGGAATATAAATCCATGTGGCGCTGTTCTCCATTATCCAAATCTACATGTTTCACAACTTGATGGAGATGTAGTCTAATAAAGAAAAAAAAATCCTCCATCCTTTTGAACCAAGCTTTAAAAGAAATCCAGTTAGAGTAGAGTAGAGTAGAGTAGAGTAGAGTAGAGTAGAGTAGAGTAGAATAGAATAGGAATAGAATAGAATAGAATAGAATAGAATAGAATAGAATAGAATAGAATAGAATAGAATAGAATAGAATAGAATAGAATAGAATAACAGAGTTGGAAGGGACCTTGGAGGTCTTCTAGTCCAACCCCCTGCTTAGGCAGGAAACCCTATACCATTTCAGACAAGTGGTTATCCAACATCTTCTTAAAAATTTCCAGTGTTGGAGCATTCACAATTTCTGGAGGCAAGTCGTTCCACTGATTATTTGTTCTAACTGTCAGGAAATTTCTCCTTAGTTCTAAGTTGCTTCTTAGTTATTTATTAGGAGCTTCATATTGGCACGTTCCCAAGTGAAGCCAGCTCTGACGCCACGTAATTTATGCCCCAATTATGCCCCTGTTTTCCTCCTAGGGTATGTCATCAATCACATTCACCAATGGAGCAATTTTGTGGGTTGTAGAGATCACACCCCTCCAGCCACTGTGGGTAACCCTGGGAGACAGCCTTGAGAGAGATAAGTCTGCAATGTGCATCTGTCTTTGGCTGCCATGCTGTTTTGTTGGTTTCCCATCCCCTTTGGCCTATGGCAACTCGAGAACAGGCCAGAGATGCTTTGTGATTTGGCATTTGGTGAATATCAGTATGCACATGATATGCTTATGCATTGTTAGTGTAAACATGGTTTATGAAATGAACTATTTTCTAAAGAGTTGAAATTCGCATATCTTAAAGTTGCCAAGGTTGAGAAACACTGGCCTGGACTATTAATTGTTGAGAAACATAAGCTGGAGGATGCCACCAAGTTAATAGCTGAACTCTAGGCTTTCCAAGGATCTATTTTTAGCCAATAAGGAAAATGGGTGGTTAGGTGAGCTGTTGAACTGATTTAGTCTAGTTCATTTTTTCTTTTCTTTTAACAACCCTATAATCCTCTTGCATTGGGATGGAGTTGGGGTGACTTCATAGAGCTGAGCATTTACTGGCCAGATGCCCTTCCTGACACCTACAGGGAGCTCACAGCAGATATTTTCTCTTTGCGCCCAGAGAGAGAAATATTGTCTGCTAGCTAGGATCGAACTCACAGCCTCCTGATTGTGGGGCAAAAGCTCCATCTCTAGGCCATCACGTCTCTCAGTCAAGTTCATCTTCTACTCTTCTGTATTTATTTGGAGCTCCGTGCTGAAATGAGAGAGTAGGAGTTGACCAGGCTGAACCTGAGGATGGGGTCAAATACATCATCAGCCTCAATTCCCTTTGTTCCCACAAGTCCAGCCCACCTTGAATTCCATTGATTCTTCTCTACCGCCAATTTGCTTTGACCGTTAATAGTTCAGATTCTTGTGGAGAATATTAGCATCCAATAAACCTATATAAGCCTTGGTGGCACAGTGGTTAGAGTGAAGTACTGCAGGCTACCTCTGCTGACTGCCGGCTGCCTGCAATTTGGCAGTTCAAATCCCACCAGGCTCAAAATTTACTCGGCCTTCCATCCTTCCAAGGTCGGTAAAATGAGGACCCAGATTGTTGGGGGCAATAGGCTGACTCTGTAAACAGCTTAGAGATGGCTGTAAAGCGGTATACAAGTCTAAGTGCTATTCATTTGAACTGCCTGAACCCCTGATTTCTTACGCTTGACATAGGGTTTATTATGTATTGATTTATTGAATTCAGTTTAGGTACTACTTGATTACAGACCAATGGAGTTAGGTAATGGGTAAATGCAGTTTTGGTCCTTGAGATCAAATAACAGCATGAAGGCTCCGTGGTTTTGAGATCTTGCATAAGTAACTAGATGCTGACCTTCCATTTTTGTCTGATAAAACATGAAAGCAGAATCCTTTTTCTGCTGCACTTCTGGGCCAGGTTTAAACTATCCATATTAATGTTCCAGATGCTTATAAGCCTTATGTTGGAACATGAATTGCCTTAAGACAACTCTGTTGTTTTTTCATCTTGAAATGTCCCTGTAAATCAAATCTCTAAGATCCTTTAGTATTCCAATATGCATCCCACAAAAGAAATATCTGTAATTATCACAAGTTTTTCTTCACTAAAATAATTACATTCATCATCTTTTAATGCCCCATAAATCCTTGCGGGGTGGAGTCTGGGCAACTGAATGGAGCTAGCAGAGTGCTTAATGCCCGGATGCCTTTCCTGTCACCAATGTGGAGTTTTGTTCAGCAGATATCTTCTCATTGTGCCCAGAGAGAGAAATATCTGCCTCTACCTAGGATCGAACTCACAGCCTCCTGATTTGTGAGGCGAGAGCTCCACCTATAGGCCACCGCACCACTCCATTGAATTAATTACATTCTCTCATATTAAATATCTCCTCTGCAACTGCGGAAAGAATACCCACTGGCTACACAGTTTGTATGGCAGAATAACAGAGTTGGAAGGGACCTTGGAGGTCTTCAAGTCCAACTTCCTGCTCAGGCAGGAAACCCTACACCACTTCAGACAAATGGTTATCCAACATCTTCTTAAAAACCTCCAGTGTTGAAGCATTCACAACTTCTGGAGGCAAGGTGTTCCACTGATTCATTGTTCTAACTGTCAGGAAATTTCTCCTTAGTTCTAAGTTGCTTCTCTCCTTGATTAGTTTCCACCCATAGATTCTTCTCCTGCCTTCAGGTGCTTTGGAGAATAGCTTGACTCCCTCTTCTTTGGGGCAGCCCCTGAGATATTGGAAGATTGTTATCATGTCTCCCCCAGTCCTTCTTTTCATTAAACTAGAGATATCCAGTTCCTTCTCTATATGTTTTAGCCTCCAGTCCCCTAATCATCTCGGTTGCTCTTCTCTGCAATCTTTCTAGAGCCTCCACATCTTTTTTATAGACTGGTGCCCAAAATATGACAATTCGGTGTGTACTGGAAGCTTTGTTTTGCCGTGATGGGATAGGAACCTGGGTGACTCCATTCCTGCTTGCTTTCTTTTGCAGAAACAAACCTGAGTTCTCTTAAGGAGCCACAGGTGGACAGCTCTCCAGTAGTGTCTCCACCCCATCAGAGAAGAGATTCTGACAGGTATTGCCAGCTCTGTGCAGCTTGGTTTAACAACCCAATGATGGCACAGCAACACTATGATGGAAAAAAGCACAAAAAGAACGCAGCCAGGGCTGATCTACTAGAGCAGCTAGGGAAGACATTGGACCTAGGCGAGGTAAGAGGTAAGAGATTCGTCTCAAATAATCATCTTCAAAGTCGTTGGGTGAATGAAAGGGATTGTATTCTTTTTTTCTTTTTTTTTTTTAATTTGATTTATATGTCGCCCTTCTCCGGAGACTCAGGGCGGCTTACAATGCGTTAAGCAATAGCCTTCATACTTTTGTATATTTATACAAAGTCAGCTTATTGCCCCCACAATCTGGGTCCTCAATTTACCTACCTTAGAAAGGATGGAAGGCTGAGTCAACCTTGAGCCTGGTGAGATTTGAACTTTCAGTAATTGCAGACAGCGCGTGTGCCCACAGAGACAACTCTGCGTGCCATCTCTGGCACGTGTGCCATAGTTTCGCCATCACGGCCCTAAACTCAAATTTTCTAAAATAGCTTTTACTCAGACTAGAGTTTGGACCAAACAGTTCCTGGGCATTTCCATGCTTCTCTTTCACCTTAATGGAAACAATATTGCTTCTGATTGCATTTTTCTTTCTCAAGGGAAGAAAAAACCTTTCAGTTAAATTTTTATGACGGCGCGTGACATCCCCAGCAGTTATTTCAGGGATAAAAAGAGGCATAGGTGAATGAATGTTTAAAGCAGCCCAGCAATACCTTTTCCGTCTCTTGCAAAAACAAACTTTAACCAGATCTTGGTTAATGAAGCAAAATTGGAACATCACACATTCTCCCAGGATAAGAGGGGTTGGGGGGAATAAATTCAAAAGGATTTGAAAAAAAAAATCTATGCTGGAAAACAGCCTAAATATAAAAATGTTGGAAATTAGTTAAAACAATAGATATGGGATGAAAAAGAATATGTTGGAAGATAATTAAAATGAAGTGAAATGAGTATGAAATGACTCTTGTGTAAAATGAAAAGGGTAATAATAGATGATAAGTTAGGGGTAAATTAATAGAGGTTAAGATTTAGATTTGATGAAATGGGTCTTGGGATTAAGGAATATATATAGAAATTTGATTTATAAATTGAAATAAAAACAGAGTTGTGTTTATGTGGAAATTAAGATTTGTGGTGATACAATAGAATGGTAAATACTTAGATTAAGATGTTGGAATTTGGGTTAAAAATTTGTGTTTGGACTTTTATTTTAAAAGATGTAAACGGAGGAAATTTGGAATAGAGCTTGTTCAAGAAGTGTAAGCGATTGTACCTATTTATGACCGGATCAAGACTTCGTTCTTAAAAGATGTATTTTATGTTTGTGTTTTAAAAATTAAAAAATATTTTTCAAAAAAAAAAAGGGGGAGGGTTGAAAAATCACAGTGAACACTTGATTTTATATCTCTCTCTTCCCCTCTCCCAAACCCCACGCTTCTTTCTAAATAATGCCTTCAACTTCCTGCAGTCAAGGACTATTAGCTGATACCCCATCAAACACGGAACATTTTATCCATTTAGCTTTCACAAAAAGAGTTAAAAATAGAAAGCTTTCCCGGGGCAACATTAAACGTGGTGGAAGATATATATATATATATATATATATATATATATATATATATATATATATATATATATATATATATATATATATATATATATATATATATATATATATATATATATATATTCCACTTCTTTTTTTAAATACCCTCATTTCTCAATTTTACACAATATGGATTGAGCTTCTAGATATATCAAAAGCTAAAAAAAAAACCTGCACCTCGTCTTTAATGAAGAGTATCCTTCCTTTAAGATTGAGCTCGTACCACAAATCTTTTACTGATGATATTAAAATCCTTGAGATGAAGAGATTGTCCTTATTTTGACACAGACCAGCAAATTTAGCCATAGAGCCTCTCACTGCAATATTATAGAAGTTTTTTCTTTATTGTTGGAGCCTTCTATCCAGAGGTGGGCTTCATATAATTTAACAACCGGTTCTCCCAGGAGCAAAAATATGAGTAGGTGCCTTCCGTGCATGCTCGCACATGCAGCTTGCATGTATGTGCACCAAGAGTTGGTTCTACTTACCTTTACGCAGATCGCTGATGACGACATCCAGGGCAATGGGCGTGGCCTCCCACCAGTTTTACTATCAGTTCTTGCAAACCAGTCCGAACCGGGGCAACCCACCACTGAGGCACACAGCTTAGAAAATGTATCTAAATAGGATGGCATAGCCCACAGCTATTACCGGTTCACGTGAACTAGTCCAAACCGGCTGAATCCCACCTCTGCTCCTCTCTTGTGGTGGAATTCTGTTTTATAAACAGCTTCTAGTAAAACAAAGGTACTGGTTGGAAAAATTGAGTATTTGGATCGAAGACAAGAACATAAGTACTTTTGTTTCCACATGGAGACCAAGCTTCTGAACTTTGTGCCTGAAGTGGAAAAGAATGAAAGTTTGATTTTGGGTTTTACCAATTAGATTGATAAATCTTTATGGAAATGGCTTGTTCGTATTATTATGAAAAAAACAAGAAGAAGAAGAAGAAGTGATTTGATATTAATGCCTTATTTTACTTGCAACGGAGAGTATTTATTTATTTATTTTATTTTTGTATATAAGATAACAGCTAAAAGTATAAACATAATTTGAATACATGAAAAGAGTAAGAGTAAAAAGGAATATTAGGACAGGGATGGTAGGCACGCTGCTGCACTTATGCACACCCCATACAGACCTCTTAGGAATGGGGTGAGGTCAACAGTAGACAGTTTAAGGTTAAAGTTTGGGGGTTGGGGGAAGAAACCACAGAGTCAGGTAGTGCATTCCAGGCATTGACCACTCTGTTGCTGAAGTCATATTTTCTGCAATTGAGTTTGGAACGGTTTACCTTGAGTTTGTATCGATTATTTGCTGAAGTAGTCATTGACAGGAAGGACATTGTGGCAGATAATTTTATGTACTATGCTTAGGTCAGACTGAAGTTGTCATAGTTCTAAGTTGTCTAAGCCCAAAATTTGGAGTCTGGTGGCATAAGGCATTTTATTGCGGTTAGAGGAATTGAGGACTCTTCTCGTAAAATATCTCTGGACTCTCTCGATTGTATTTATGTCCGATATGCAGTGCGGGTTCCAGACAGATGAGCTGTATTCAAGAATTGGTCTAGCAAATGTTTTGTATGCTCTGGTTAGTAGTACAACATTACCAGAGAAGAAGCTATGCAAGATTAGGTTAACAACTCTTAAAGCCTTTTTGGCAATGTTGTTACAGTGGGCTCGGGCACTTAGAAATGAGTACTCCAAGGTCCTTGACAGAGTGAGGGTCATCTACAAGGTCATGCCCATCTAATTTGTATTTTATGTTTTGATTTTTTTTTTTTTTGCCAATGTATAAGACAGAGCATTTGTTGGTTGAGATTTGAAGTTGCCATTTGTTAGACCACATAGTCAAGGTCTTTTTGAAGGGTAATTGCATTATCTTGCTCTCAATCCTCAATTTGCTGGGTTCTTGTGATGCTTTGATGTTATTTCAATCCTTTTCCACCCCAGTTCTTGTTTCTTTTCTTTTCTTTTTTAAGTATCCTTTTCCCTTTCCTCTCCTTCTTTCCCTGACCTCTCCTTTGTTCACCCTGATTTTATTTTTTGTCTGGTTCAGTTGACTTGCCAAGGCTATCCTTGGGGTGTTTTCGGTCTGTGATATTGTCACAGCGATCGCAATTGCGATGATGTCAAAATCATGTTGCATTCCAAAAGATTAAATCGCGAGTGAGGGAATGAGGCCAGGATGGGAAGGGCAAAAAGAGAGGAATGAAGTGAATATGCTAGATATTTCTCCAAAGGGGCAGTTTTGGTTATTTCTACTTGGAAGGGTTTCAGAAATTAATTTTTAAAAAAGGTGGAGATTCTTATTTTAGGAACTTCTCTTTCCATCTTGGTTTTTAATTGAGGAAAGAACGCATGGATCTTTCTCGCAGCACAGAAAATCTTGTGTTGAGCAACATACATTCAATATCTTTCTGAGGACAGTTTAGCCCAAATAACTCCATTGAGTCCTTTCTCAGAGATTTTCTAACCGGTCAATCCAATTTCTTCGTAATCACTATTTCCCAGTAGCCAACCAGAAGATCTAACGATCAACAGCAGCTCTGCAAACACCTCACTTAGGAGGGTCTGGATGTGTTGTGTAAGATTTGTGATTGTGTAAGATCTGTAGCTGTGCAGTTCACTCTCAACCCTTTTTTTTAACATACCACGGTCTCTGTGTGTGTTGTTATTTTTCCTCTTTCTCTCACTCATTTCTTTCGCTTTTTCCGCTGAGCGTGCCACTTTTATTCCATTTTATCTTCTTTTAGCTTGTCATTTCTATTTCTGTAGGTTTAATGGTGTAAACCTTCACTTCAAGATTTAAAATTGTGGATGTGAGCATGCCAATATATCTGTTCATTTACCCGCTAAACTGCTAAGATGTCCTGTCATAGACAATGGCTAGTTGGCACACCGTTCTGGAGCTCTCGCTTGCTTTTCTTGTCGTGAAAAGCCAGCTGTTGCGTATTTGCTCGTGGAATTTGATGTTTTGTGTAGATCCTTGACTCTGCCCTGCTCACCCCAAATTTTATTGAGTTAGATGTCTTTGTTGCCCTTCTTGACTTCATCTCTATTCTCTTATGAATTTAGCTAAACTTTGTGTGTGTGTGTGTGTGTGTGTGTGTGTGTGTGTGTGTGTGAGAGAGAGAGAGAGAGAGAGAGAGAGAGAGAAACAGAGAGAGAGAAACAGAGAGAGAGAAAAACAGAGAGAGAGAGAGAGAGAGAAATACAGAGACAGAGAAAGGTAGGTAGGTAGGTAGGTAGGTAGGTAGGTAGGTAGGTAGGTAGGTAGATAGATAGATAGATAGATAGATAGATAGATAGATAGATAGATAGATAGATAGATAGATAGATAGATAGATAGATAGATAGATGATTGATCAGTGGTGAAATCCAAATTATTTTACTACCAGTTCTGTGGGCATGGCTTGGTGGGTGTGGCTTGGTGGGCGTGGCAGGGGAAGGATACTTCAAAATCTCCATTCCCACCCCACTCCAGGGGAAGGATATTGCAAA